TTGTTAATGGTGTATATGGATGGTGTTGATGGTGTGTATGGATGGTGTTGATGGTGTGTATGGATGGTGTTGATGGTGTGTATGGATGTTGTTGATGGTGTGTATGAATGGTGTTGATAGTGTATATGGATGGTGTTAATGGTGTATATGGATGGTGTTGATGGTGTGTATGGATGGTGTTGATGGTGTGTATGGATGGTGTTGATGGTGTGTATGGATGTTGTTGATGGTGTGTATGGATGTTGTATATATTGTGTATGGATGGTGATAATGGTGTGTATGAATGGTGTTGACAGTGTGTATGGATGGTGTTGATGGTGTGTATGGATGGTGTTGATGGCGTGTATGGATGTTGTTGATAGTGTGTATGGATGTTGTTGATGGTGTGTATGGATGGTGTTGATGGTGTGTATGAATAATGTTGATGGTGTGTATGGATGGTGTTGATGGCATGTATGGATGTTGTTGATGGTGTGTATGGATGGTGTTGATAGTGTGTATGAATGTTGTTGATGGTGTGTATGAATGGTGTTGATGTTGTGTATGGGTGTCTGTTATGGTGTGTATGGATGTCTGTTATGGTGTGTATGTTTACTGATACAGAACAATGAAGTGTTGTATGGATGTCTGTTATGGTGTGTATGTTAATTTATACAGAACAATGAGGTGTGTATGAGTGTCTGTTATGGTGTGTATGGATGTCTGTTACGGTGTGTATGTTTACTGATACAGAACAATGAGGTGTGTATGGAGGTCTGTTATGGTGTGTATGTTTACTGATACAGAACAATGAGGTGTGTATGGATGTCTGTTATGGTGTGTATGTTAATTTATACAGAACAATGAGGTGTGTATGGATCGTTGTTATGGTGTGTATGGATCGTTGTTATGGTGTGTATGGATGTCTGTTATGGTGTGTATGGATGTCTGTTATGGTGTGTATGGGTGTCTGTTATGGTGTGTATGGATGTCTGTTATGGTGTGTATGGATGTCTGTTATGGTGTGTATGGATGTCTGTTATGGTGTGTATGGATGTCTGTTATGGTGTGTATGGATGTCTGTTATGGTGTGTATGGATGTCTGTTATGGTGTGTTATGGTGTGTATGGATGTCTGTTATGGAGTGTATGGATGTCTGTTATGGTGTGTATGGATGTCTGTTAAGGGTGTGTATGGACGTCTGTTATGGTGTGTATGGATGTCTGTTATGGAGTGTATGGATGTCTGTTATGGTGTGTATGGATGTCTGTTATGGTGTGTATGGATGTCTGTTATGGGTTATGGATGTCTGTTATGGTGTGTATGGATGTCTGTTATGGTGTGTATGTCTGTTATGGTGTGTATGGATGTCTGTTATGGTGTGTATGGATGTCTGTTATGGTGTGTATGGATGTCTGTTATGGATGTCTGTTATGGTGTGTATGGATGTCTGTTATGGTGTGCATGATGTCTGTTATGGTGTGTATGGATGTCTGTTATGGTGTGCATGATGTCTGTTATGGTGTGTATGGATGTCTGTTATGGTGTGCATGGATGTCTGTTATGGTGTGTATGGATGTCTGTTATGGTGTGTATGGATGTCTGTTATGGTGTGCATGGATGTCTGTTATGGTGTGTATGGATGTCTGTTATGGTGTGTATGGATGTCTGTTATGGTGTGCATGGATGTCTGTTATGGTGTGTATGGATGTCTGTTATGGTGTGTATGGATGTCTGTTATGGTGTGTATGGATGTCTGTTATGGTGTGTATGGATGTCTGTTATGGTGTGTATGGATGTCTGTTATGGTGTGTATGGATGTCTGTTATGGAGTGTATGGATGTCTGTTATGGTGTGTATGGATGTCTGTTATGGAGTGTATGGATGTCTGTTATGGTGTGTATGGATGTCTGTTATGTATGGATGTCTGTTATGGTGTGTATGGATGTCTGTTATGGTGTGTATGGATGTCTGTTATGGTGTGTATGGATGTCTGTTATGGTGTGTATGGATGTCTGTTATGGTGTGTATGGATGTCTGTTATGGAGTGTATGGATGTCTGTTATGGTGTGTATGGATGTCTGTTATGGTGTGTATGGATGTCTGTTATGGTGTAAATGTTATTCCATTTAGAACAATTTATATTATTGGACTATTTTCTTACAAAAAAAGAAAAACAATCATTTTTTGTTCCTTAATTTAACTAATGTTGCAATCAAACACAATCTGTCTAATTCCACAATTCCAACCCATTGTGAATCAGAAATATATTGAGACAGCCTTGGCTAATTGGTGAATTATGCAATTATTCAGTCAAAGAAATGGTTCTCGTAGTGATCAATGAGATGAAAAAAAAATATTCAAATGATGATATGTAGCATGACAATGTACTCTTTGTGAATTTATGTGCAGCTATCAATAGGATGAACCTATTTAAAGGGAACTAACTCCGACATACTAACAAAATAGCTTAATATTTTGATATCTTGATGAAAATATTCGTTCTTGAATGATCTCGAGGTTCCCGCGATACATATGAAATATTCTGTTAGCGTTTTACACTGTTGCTGCACATGGGTGCACGCCAGTGTTTTTCTGAAAGCATAATGTATAGCAATTAGTGGTCCGTATATCAAGGGGCATAACTCTTGCAACCTTGCTATAAAACCTGTGTCACTTTTTATTCTTATGTGTCATCTTTTTTTTAACGTGATAGTTTAGGTTATCGAAAGAGCAACAAAACATCTAATTCTAAAACACATAAATCAATAACTCTGAGGCAGCTCTCTACACGGATAATTTATTACAACACAAATCACACTTCTCACTTATTAGTACTGCATTATTTAATAAAGAGCACGAGACAAAGTAAATTGATGTATGCCATGTTCCTCTCGGTCTATATAACTTTTAAAAAAGTTTTTAAATATGTAAAATAAAAATGTGATTTATACAAGGTTAACTGTATTAATTTATTTGTTTATTTATTTCCCCTGTCATATCATAAAGAAAGTGTTGCTGTTGTCAGCCACATAATAAGCAATGTAACCTCAGAACTGTTCGAGGCATAATGTTCTCCGAATATTTCGGGTAATTAAAAACTATTACAAAACTGAGAGAAAGAGGGAGAGAGAGAATAGGGGTGGGGACAAACATTCGCTTTGACAAATAAAGGGACAAACTCTGATCATCGAAAATTTGGACCCATGCTAGGTATGAATTAAATCGCATCATAAAGCTGTTTCGTCCTTCTAGGACTCGTCAACGAGGTTTAGAGCCTAAAGTCTGAAGCCTCGGAGGCGACTTAGGAAAATCCAAAGTGATCAACAAAAAGTTCAAAATCTAGACGGGGAGGTGCAGCAGCCCCATAATTAGATAAATTCATAATTTTCAAACATCATGAAATTGTATTAGTGTATACTAACAGTGAGATCTTCATTGTCTAAAGCATACGTATAAGGAAATCAACAACAAAAATTAACATTGAAATACAATTCGGAAGCTTTATAAAACTTTTTTTATCATGATCTACCTCACTTCCAAAGCGATGGTCGGAAAATTTCTCAAATATGGTAATTGCGATTATCTTTCTATGTAGCACAGTCAGTTGTCCAGGATTGTGAAGATATTACAAATATGGCTATATATGAAGTCAGGAAAGACTGTAACAGAAAATAGAGACATTGAATTTAATGTTAGTAGGTATACTGATCACGGCTTGCAACCTCCATGGGTTCGCTTTGTCGGAATCAGTCAATTATCCAGTAAGTATGATATATAATCTTCACGATTTCATAAATTGTTAATTCCTGAATTGTTTTTTATCAGATATCACTAACTCGTCCCTGGTGTAAAAATGTAATAGTAGATTTTGGTAAAGTACACTAAATGTTCGTGTACTTATATATACCTACTTTAATATCAGTCCGGTCCAGATAAATTGTCTACAGACAGCCAGATTTACACATATTAGATTATTTTGACGGTCATATATTACATTCTTTTGTATACGGTTAATTAATGTTGAAACAGTTGCCATTCTGTTCGGACCAGTTTGAAAAGACGACTGATTTAAACAAAGTGGCCACCATGAAATGACATATTCAGTTACAATTTGGTTTTGTGTCAGATGTCGGTAATCTTAATCATGCTACAACGATTTGTCTGGTCTCGAAACATTTTTATAACCATTCATCCCGAGTCAATAGCTCGTGATGTAAAGGTGTCTATTACGTATTGAGGGTGTCCGCTAAGCTACACCAGGTGAGGAAGAGACAACTATACATCTCTGTCTAGACAGGCTCATCTGCTTCGTTAATCACATCGGCGGCGTTACTTTCCCCGCCATTTCGGAGCGAGGCGAGCAGGAAGTGACCGGATGTAGGCCACGTGTGGTTTCCCAGCCGACGATGATTCGTTTCCTGTGTCGTCTGCCGAAATCTTAACATGAAAATGTTCTGTGTAGTCAAACGTCCCTCATCTTGCGAATTCGTTGTAACTAGCACTAAAAGTAACAGTATGAATTCATGGGCAAGGCGTACTTCAAGACAGGAAACGTGCTCACTACTCAAGAAACAGTAGGATAAACCGGCAGAACTACTGGTCAGCAGCTGGACTTTTGCTGTCTATCATCGTGATTACTTTGTGAATAAATCATGAATAACTCATTCGTTACCTCTGTTTAATATCTCTTGGAACTCCAGACACTTAAGAATATCTGTCCACGCGTCATTTTCTGTTTAGCCGTGTTTAGCCAAGATGGTCTCCTGTGCCGTAGTAATGCGTTTACCATCTCGTCTGACACATGTCCGTCCTTACACATATTCAATATTTGCTAGCCACGAATTGTGGACTTAAACCTGTAGTGATTTATTCCGGTAAGTTACTTTCTTATTTGATGTTGTCATTTGCCAAGCATTCTCCCAACACAAAGGAAATACCAACATATAAACAAAATCCCAATAAAACGATAGATAAGACGAGACTAAAACACGAACTGATATTTACACAGAGACACTTACAAAGGTACCAGGTACTCCGAAAGGGTAAGTGTCTTCTGCTTCATCGAGTACATCCGTCATGTATATGAGGCATGAGGTTTAGTTTTAGACTTGTGTTTGGCTTATGGATGTTAGGTGACTGCAAGTGTTGTTTGCAATGGTTTCGTGTAAGCTTCTTTGTGATAGTGCGGAACTAATGCCGACTTGATAGTGTTATCCTACTGCCGAAGACTTCAAACTACCGCACTGAATCATAGTGCTGAAGATTTCAGCTGCCACACTGAATCATAGTGCTGAAGATTTCAGCTGCCACACTGAATCATACTGTCGAAACCTTCAGATGCCACACTGAATCATACTGCCGAAGCCTTCAGATGCCACACTGAATCATACTACCGAAGCCTTCAGCTGCCACAGTGAACACACTACCGAAGCCTTCAGCTGCCACACTGAATCATACTGCCGAAGACATCCAGCTGCCACACTAAATCATAGTGCCGAAGCCTTCAGCTGCCATACTAAATCATACTGCATAAGTCTTCAGCTGCCACACTGAATCATACTGCCGAAGACATCCAGCTGCCACACTAAATCATAGTGCCGAAGCATTCAGCTGCCATACTAAATCATACTGCATAAGTCTTCAGCTGCCACACTGAATCATACTGCCGAAGACATCCAGCTGCCACACTAAATCATAGTGCCGAAGCCTTCAGCTGCCATACTAAATCATACTGCATAAGTCTTCAGCTGCCACACTGAACATACTACCGAAGCCCTCAGCTGCCACACTGAACATACTACCGAAGACTTCAGCTGCCACACTGAATCATACTGCCGAAGACATCCAGCTGCCACACTAAATCTTAGTGCCGAAGCCTTCAGATGCCATACTGAATAATACTGCCGAAGCCTTCAGCTGCCACACTGAACATACTACCGAAGACTTCAGCTGCCACACTGAATCATACTGCCGAAGCCTTCAGCTGCCACACTGAATCATACTGCCGAAGCCTTCAGCTGCCACACTAAATCATACTGCATAAGTCTTTAGCTGCCACACTGAATCATACTGCCGAAGCCTTCAGCTGCCACACTAAATCATACTGCATAAGTCTTTAGCTGCCACACTGAATCATACTACCGAAGACTTCAGCTGCCACACTGAATCATACTGCCGAAGACATCCAGCTGCCACACTAAATCTTAGTGCCGAAGCCTTCAGATGCCATACTGAATAATACTGCCGAAGACATCCAGCTGCCACACTAAATCTTAGTGCCGAAGACTTCAGCTGCCACACTGAATCATACTGCCGAAGCCTTCAGCTGCCACACTGAATCATACTGCCGAAGCCTTCAGCTGCCACACTAAATCATACTGCATAAGTCTTTAGCTGCCACACTAAATCATACTGCATAAGTCTTTAGCTGCCACACTGAATCATACTGCCGAAGCCTTCAGCTGCCACACTGAACATACTACCGAAGACTTCAGCTGCCACACTGAATCATACTGCCGAAGACATCCAGCTGCCACACTAAATCTTAGTGCCGAAGCCTTCAGATGCCACACTGAATCATACTGCCGAAGCCTTCAGCTGCCACACTGAACATACTACCGAAGACTTCAGCTGCCACACTGAATCATACTGCATAAGTCTTTAGCTGCCACACTGAATCATACTGCCGAAGCCTTCAGCTGCCACACTGAATCATACTGCATAAGTCTTAAGCTGCCATACTGAACATACTACCGAAGTCTCCAGCTGCCACACTGAACATACTACCGTAGCCTTCAGTTGCCACACTGAACATACTACCGAAGCCTTCAGATGTCACACTGAATCATACTGCCGAAGCCTTCAGATGTCACACTGAACATACTGCCGAAGCCTTCAGCTGCCATACTGAATCATACTGGCGGAGCAGAATTTATCAAAAACCGTCCCTTCCATGGTTGAAAGTTGGTCAGTATCAAGGCAGACATAAGAAAAACGTAGAGCAGAGAAAAAAATGGATCCCAAAGTGAGTCTCCTCTTGTGAGTATGCGATGGGGCAGTAGGCACAATTTTTACGATGTACCTGCAAGACAACTAGACCGGGAAACAGGAATGATGAGATCTAGATGAAAAATGCGTTTACAAGACAACATTCTTATAACAGTAACAGGCTGTTAGGTGTTGGTGTTACAACAAAGAAATCATCAACATGTCAACAGATTCATAATCCAACCTTCGATTCTATTAACCCAGGACAAAATATGAACAAGAGCATGATTAAACAAGCAAACTCTCAGGAAAGTACACGATAAAAGTACTGGTCCAAGAGAGCAAGCGTCTTCTGTTTCAATGAAAACACCCCTTCTATAAATCCTGGACATTCCAGGTAAGTAAGTAAGTCACGTTTTCAAATGGCACTCTCTGAACACGAGCATCAAAACAAGGAATCCACAAGGCAAGCTAAAACGAGTATCAAGACAGGAAGCTTACAATGTACACTTATCATCATCAAGACAAGGAACTCACAATGCAACCCTAACGAGCATCACGATAAGAAACCCGCAAGAGATATTAACCAAGACACGTTACTCACACTAACAAGCACCAAGGCGAGGATCTCAGAAGGTACACAACGAGCATCAAAGACAAGAAACCCACAGGGCACATAAACAAGCATAAAGACAAGGAACCCACAGGGCACACAAACAACTATCAAGACGAGGAACTCACAAGGCACACAAACAACTATCAAGACGAGGAACTCGCAAGGCACACTAAAGAGCATCAAGACAGGAAACTTACAAACAAGACACACTAACGAACATCAGGACAGGAAACTTACAAACAAGACACACTAACGAACATCAGGACATGGAACTTACAAACAAGACTCACTAACGAACATCAGGACATGGAACTTTCAAGACACACTAACGAATGTCAGGACATGGAACTTACAAGGCACACTAACGAACATCAGGACATGGAACTTACAAACAAAACACACTAACAAACATCAGGACATGGAACTTACAAGGCACACTAACGAACATCAGGACATGGAACTTACAAACAAGGCACACTAACGAACATCAGGACATGGAACTTACAAACAAGGCACACTAACGAACATCAGGACATGGAACTTACAAGGCACACTAACGAACATCAGGACATGGAACTTACAAACAAAACACACCAACGAACATCAGGACATGGAACTCACAAGGCACACTAACGAACATCAGGACATGGAACTTACAAACAAAACACACTAACGAACATCAGGACATGGAACTTACAAACAAGGCACACTAACGAACATCAGGACATGGAACTCACAAGGCACACTAACGAACATCAGGACATGAACCTTACAAGACACACTAACGAACATCAGGACATGGAACTCACAAGGCACACTAACGAACATCAGGACATGGAACTTACAAGACTCACTAACGAACATCAGGACATGGAACTTTCAAGACACACTAACGAATGTCAGGACATGGAACTTACAAGGCACACTAACGAACATCAGGACATGGAACTTTCAAACAAAACACACTAACAAACATCAGGACATGGAACTTACAAGGCACACTAACGAACATCAGGACATGGAACTTACAAACAAGGCACACTAACGAACATCAGGACATGGAACTTACAAACAAGGCACACTAACGAACATCAGGACATGGAACTTACAAGGCACACTAACGAACATCAGGACATGGAACTTACAAACAAAACACACCAACGAACATCAGGACATGGAACTCACAAGGCACACTAACGAACATCAGGACATGGAACTTACAAACAAAACACACTAACGAACATCAGGACATGGAACTTACAAACAAGGCACACTAACGAACATCAGGACATGGAACTCACAAGGCACACTAACGAACATCAGGACATGAACCTTACAAGACACACTAACGAACATCAGGACATGGAACTCACAAGGCACAATAACGAACATCAGGACATGGAACTCACAAGGCACACTAACGAACATCAGGACATGGAACTCACAAGGCACACTAACGAACATCAGGACATGAACCTTACAAGACACACTAACGAACATCAGGACATGGAACTCACAAGGCACACTAACGAACATCAGGACATGGAACTCACAAGGCACACTAACGAACATCAGGATATGGAACTCACAAGGCACACCAACGAACAATAAGACAAGAAACCCACAAAGCATACAACTACTAGCAAGACAATTTACCCACAAGGTACACCAACGAGCTTAAAGACAAGAAACTCAAAATGCACACTAACGAGCATCAGGACGAGGAAATACTATATTTCTCTATGAAACAATAGTGTCAGCCGTAAGCCATTGTAACGGTGTTATAAATCCGTCCCATTTGTTTTTTATGCAATAAGGCATCGGATTACATTGTATTTACAATTCATTTTAGCATAAAGTGGAAAATAGCATCAACACAGTTCTCATATGGAAAGTACTTTTCATCAGTCTGTATCACTTGGCATTCTATCCGGCATGTCAGTTTGTTAGTCAGCCGTCAAAGATATCGTTATAGTAGAAACAAGTCATTGAATTAACTGGCAGCTGAATGGATGTGCGAGAGTCGATGAAAGTCGGTGTAATGTTAAGCTGTATGATGTTCTTTCACACTTTGAAATTATCCAAAGTATAAACAAAAAGACATGAAGTGATGAAAACAGGAGAGAAAAATCTTATAGGAAATATAAACACATATATCCATTCATAAATCGCATTCTATAATTTGGACTACATCTTCAGATAAGCTTGGAGTAAACTATATGTTATCAAACTATCATAACTTGTTGCAAAACCTTATTGGTGATGCAGTATGAAAGTTCAGACAGTTTAAAGCTTTTACCACCCACGGCCGGGTGAATCATCCATTCTATGTATACATTGGAATTCAAACTGCAAAATAAAAGGGAGAACATTAAAATATTTCTCTGGACAACTAAACAACCTACACTAATTTGTGAACAGCGTGCACAATGTCAGTTATCTTCACTATTGCGGGCTCGAGTGATGGGGTAAGGAGATATATACGGATGGGTGAGTCCAGCCGATCTGGACGGATTAACCTTGCGAGTTCATTCACGATCTACGCTTCCTCCACCATACAAACAGTTCCTCTGGATTCTACCCGGGATCAGATTTCACAGATAGGTGAGATTTTGTTCCGAAAGTCACAGGGACACGGTGTTGGCGTGGCATTTATAACGATATTTCAAATAGATATATGTGTTCACCCGACCATAAATTACATACACATGTTGACAAGCCGAATAAGGTCATTTACACTAATTTTGATGTAGATCTGTAACTGATCTGATTGGTTCGGGAAGAATTTCTGCACGAACAATAACAAAACGATATATCTGAAAAAAAAACTGTCATTATACATTTGTTAATTGGGTGACAATGAGTGAACAATCAATATATTCCAATGGTCGTGTAAAGGCTCAGAGACACAGATCCGTCTACAAATTGCTCGGAGACCAACATAGGTCCAAGAATTGCTCGGAGACCCAGATAGGTCCATAATTTGCTCTGAGACCAAGATCGGTCCACAAATTGCTCGGAGGCCTACATTGCTCCACAAATTGCTCGGAGACCCAGATCCGGCTACAAATTGCTCGGAGACCCAGCTAGGTCCACAAATTGCTCGGAGACCCAGATCGGTCCACAAATTGCTCAGAGACCGAGATGGTGCAAGTTTTGCTCAGAGACTCAAACAATATGTCTATGAGTTGCTCAGAGACCTACACAGGCCACGAATTGCCTAGAGACACAGAGCAGAGACCTAGATAGTTCCAAGAGTTGCTCAAAGAAGTTCATGAATTACTGGTCACTGTGTTACTGGAAAGTTAATTTGTAATAAGCTGTTTCCTTGTGTTTTTTCCCATTTTGCTTTCTGCTATTTCACGTGAAACTATTTCAATAAAAACAAATGCGGTCATGGATTGTAAACATGCGATCCTATTCACGTTTCAATATAATGAAATACCACCTACCTAGCACAGACGATGATAGACTGGTTAATTAATTCCACCACGCCTGAATGGAGAGTGAACAAAAACTATTCCCTGCTTAATTAATTTAGTCGAATGAGAAAATAACAAAGCATAATGGTTGTTATTTATGTTTTTACATGCGCGAAAAGATAGATACATGTCTGACTTCCGATAAGAAGCTCGTCTCTTCCTATTCTTTCGAAGCATAGACAAAACCTTAAGACATTGGATTAAAGAAAAAAACATATTCAGTTGAAACTGTCGTAAAATATCCCCCCTCTCTCCCTACCATTTCACTATTATCTGTTGGGACCTGACCACAAAGAAATTCTGTTGACTCATCTTCAATGACAATATCATAGATATGGTAGTGACAAGTAACTCATCGATCCAATTTAATCTCTCCTGAATACTGGATAATTCTGGGTCTGTTTTTAATTTGAAAGACGGTCTAGTGAGCACATACTTATCTCCGTAGTTCAAGGACATCAGAGCAAGGTCCTCGCATAAATGAGAAATAATGTCCTCATACATTTACAAGGAAAAGAAAACATGCTTTTTGGGTACTATTGAGATACTTCAAAATTCGTCGTGTAAGAGTGTCACCACAATGTGGGTAAAATTCGCACATATGTCCCATCGACTACGATTTTACCATTTTACTAGACTCCCTCTCACCCCACCCCCTACCCCCTCACCCCAGCTCTCTCTCTCATAATCATTTAAATGGTACGCGCTTATATTGTTGTACATGAATTGGTATTTTAACATCCCAAAATAAAAAAGAAGTAACTTAGAAAAGACACTATGGGAGCGAGCACATTAGAGTAACCTCCCCTTAACTATATCCGAAGGGGTATGCTGGGGCATTAAATGTTGTAAGGATTTTGCAGCTTTGTAAATTTTATTTATTTAATAGAACTTATCATTATGCAGTGGTTAATTTAATTTTTAAATGATTCCAGATTTTATTTTATCTGATATATTAGCTCTAGTGGGATGAAAATTAATTAAAATTAAATTAAAAAAGACGGAGACCTACTATTTTCATCATAGTTCTGTTTCGCGCGAGACTATGAAAAGAAGCACTTGAGATTTCCAGTATATCTCTTTTAATGTGTGTCAGAGAAATGACTTACAGTGTACGTGTTTATTTTATTTTACTATTTATGAACAACGTGTTTTTAGTAAGTTACAACTTTAAGCGACATACATTTTCAACCACGTGGGACAATAACATTATAGAAAGACTCTCAGATGACAATTGTAGTCGCCGCCTTAACGACTTTTTCAACATGAAGTTTGAATAAGTTTTATATAATTTATGTATCAGATAGGGTAAACCAGGAATATTCTAAAATTATCCAATGCAAAAAGTAGCTTACCAATTCACACTTATCGTTCCTCCCGATTTAGGAGGGAGATGGCCTGATTTTTAGCTCCATGTATGGACAGCTTCTAAATAAGTTGACATCATAACTTTAACACCCAATTTGTCAGTAAAAACAATAATGAAATATGTATATATATTTTTTTTCGTTTGTTCGTCAAAAGGAAATCCATATCTTTGCCAATATATCATCTAGATGGATAGTTCAGAAACTTGGTAAGTGTGCATGGTCACCGTATCCCGATATCCAGCGTGATGTCAGTTAAACCACAGATAGCTATCCAATGGATTGTGATATGTAACTAACACGTCACCAAAGAGTACTTTATCCAAGTAAGACAAATATCACAGGTCTGTCGGATTTCATGACATTTAAAATCGTATAGTAATCTTGGACTGACGTACTCCTTTAAAAGATCCATGAGCAAAATTCACAAATTGCAGTTTTCACATTAATTGTTTGTCCGCGACAAATCAACGGACTCATTAATAAATAACTCCGTGGTGATATCAGAAGTAAATGAAAATAATCGCTTTACAAGTTTAATCCGAATTTATGTTTACAAACAGAGCAGGTGCTCGCACGCATCCTCAATAATTTTTTTCAATATTGTTTACAATATGTGATTGACATTAAATTAATATAATCTACAGCGATCACATTTGTTAATATCAAATTTTCATTTAATAATCCGAGAAATTTCCTAATTCAACTAACACACGAGAACAAACGGAGCCAATGAAATTATGGTTTCTGCATTACGGAATTCGTGCCGTTCCTTTCACCGCCCTGTATTATATGTCATGCGAAGATATCTACATAAAAGATCTTCATTGGTTTAAACATATGCGAATGTGCGATCAAAAATAAAATATCGACGCATTAAGATGTACAATAACTATTTCTGAGTGACCACTAAACTATTGAGTACGAATCAATGAACCGAGACCGTTCAACGTCATTCAGACGCTTCTACGGACGGGGAGTTAAAAGGAACAGCCAATGTAAACAGATCCTCCTCTGAGGCATTAGGAGAGAGCTCTGCAATACAGTCAAGCTGAGGACAATCCCTCGACACGGATAATCCGATTCATTGAGCACGTGAACAGCGAACATGGCGTTTACTTTTCGTTCGTAGACAACCGAATGGATTTATGATTATTTTGTGAATTCCAAACCAACACCTATGGTGTAATGAAATAATAACGGGAGTATTCCTACATGTAAACAGCGGTCGGACATTGAAATAGCAGGAAAATGGCCGCCACCAAATTAACTCCGTGCTGGTGTGTGTTATTCATTCTTTTTGTTGGAAGTCACGGTTTAAATTTGGCCTGTATTGAAGTCAAACGAGCTTATATTGCTCAGGGTGGCAACGAACATGACGTTCCGATTCAGGCGATCTCTGGTAAGTTCGGGTTTGTAATTTCAGGAAGTCTTAATTCATCAAAGAAAAGTTTTTTCGACCAAAACCTCTGATGCCGTTATCGGCACGAGTCATGAATACACTACAGACGCTCTTAGCTGTGTAAGCTGCTCACTTCAAATAGAGAATACACTTGTTTTAGCAGCGAGTGGAATTTGTGTTTAAATTACTGAAAAGGGCATGGCATTTGTACCCGATATCGACTTTTTTATATAAATTTATGAAAAAGACAATACACTGAATTTATCTGAAAAAAAAAATATATCACTGAAGAACTGTTGAAAAGTTCTTTGTTGTTTCATACAGAGACGGACTAGAATGAACGCTCAAATATTGTATCTTTCAAGTGACTGCTTATTAAAACATGTTAAAAAGACTGACCACAGCCCCCTATCTGTAATTGATAATGATAATTCACTGTGATATATATAGGTTATTTCATTTAAAAATTTGTTTGTAGTAATAACCTATTTGCTTCACAAAACTAAACATAATATTATGAATTTCTGTCATTCCTGTCAGAAGAAGAAAATTAATTGACTGTCTCTGTCACGTGTCAGATAGGAAATATTAATGTGTCCTAAAACTATATGTCAATGCATGACCGATTTTAGAACATTATGTGATATAATCAACCTTCATAAGAATTTCTTCCTTGTTTCACTTAAAATCAAATTCAGCCCATTAAACAGGTTTTTGCTTCATCATCAATTTTAATTCATCAATAGATAGAGTATAAATATTTGTATAGGTTACACAAAAAGGTTATTAAGAACATAATAATTGTCTTAAGCACAAGTGTTACTTATTCAAATGTATCTGAAAATATAATAAATGGTGGCTTTCATGAGAAAAAACACACAATCAGAAATAAATTCCTCGTTGAGAATATCGCTTTTGAAGCATAAGGGTCAGTGGAACTGATTTTTTACGAGTATAAAATATTAATGACTGAGGTCACAAAGTACAAATGAAATGACTTCAAAATTTTAATGATATAAAAAGACTGGTCATTGTCATAACATGGTGGATGAATTACATCACTAATTAATGTAGTTCAGGAAATTGTGGAATATTTGTGGTCAAGTCCATTTTCATTCTGACTATAGGTAGCTTTACCTGTTAATTACAGAGAGTTGAGTAATACTGACACCTGTCAGATAAACTTACCTGTGCACTTAAGGTGAAAAGTGCTTTCTTAATGACGCAACTCTTGAACCAAGAATTACTGTCACTTATTTCAATAACCATTGTTAGCAATTACCTGGCATTTTTGTTTGAATGACCAAAGAATCTGAAAGGCATCATTGATTAAAAGAAGAAAAGAAACCCAAATATACTATAATGAAGGCCAGTGAATGACTTTCACATTTTCTTTTTGAACAAAGGTTGACATTAATCAGCATCTTTGGTCTATACATATAGGTGAAATACAGCAGTATTTAAACTTTCATGTTGAGTATGAGAATCTGATTTATTATCAGAAAGGGTTTTTTAAAAAAAAGTTTTGATGTATCAGAAATGCAAAACAGGTCTCTATATCTGAAAAAGACAATCGTGATAATGCTAATGATTTCATTTACGATTATCAAGATAAATACAAACTACCCCTATCTCAGTAAGTGAATGAATCATAATACAGAGTGAATTCAGCCAAAATGACTAATAACTGTTCAGTTTTACAACAATACAAAAACTAGAGCACCAATCAAATAAAGATATACATTTAGAAACAAAGCATCATTTGATTTTTTGAAAATAATCATGTAACAGGACAGAATGGTGAATAAAGAATATTGATGTACATAAAGATTAAACAGAACGGTGACTTTGATCACTGTTTTCTGAATTCTCTTTGTATATAAATGAAATACAGTTAAAACAATGAAAATCGCTTGTTTAAGTTTTGTATCATTGTTTGTAAAATTGTTGAAATAAGTTCTGTTTATGTTTTGGCTGGATATTCCACAAGAATTGGTTTACATATAACTTACTTAAAACCCTATTAATCACATTGTGTACCTTGTAGACCCTATAATTGTCTTACACAATGACTGCTTCACATGTAATATGATTTAAAGACACTCCTTGTAGACTGAATTGTTGTGTTGTTTGTAAGATCTACTATTGTACCCTTTAGCCTCTCTTTGGGGGAGGTATCTTTCCTTCTCTCCTGCTGAACAACACAACAACAACATTCCCCTCTCCCTAATTACAGTACATTGAATCTGTAATCTGCCTTCCCTCACCATGTATGTCCTTCCTCCCCCCTACCCCTCCCCTCTCGCACGCACACACCCCACCAATCCTCTCCTCCTTGATAAGATGGTACATTTAATCTGTATTCACCTTTCTTTCCCTCTGACATCCTTGAATCCCTTCTTATATTCCTGGCAACCTCATCTGACTTATACACATGGATACTTATCGATAATTTCTACTTAATAACCCAAATCCCAATCCAGGCCCTCCCTGGTGCATGGTGAGAGGCTCATGTGTGTATAGATTTGGTCATCCTTTGTTCACTCGCTACACAGATATGCTTCACTCTGGTATCTCCAATTCCTTAGGATTTAGTAGGGTGTTGGAACCCTTACTGTGTGTAGGTCTGTCTCTAAGGCTAATCCAGACCATATTCATAGTGGTTATAACATTGATTCTTAATTAATATTATTCAATTTAGAGTAAAATAGCCCTAAACCGTGGAAGTTCAAATAGGATTTGGAGTATAAACAAGGGGAGATGGTAGTCAAGATATATAAAGATTTGTGTCGGATTACCTCTTCTTTTCCCAGTCATACACATTGGTAATCATAAATAAGATTATAACAACCAAGTTTGTGTGATTGATATGGGATGGGGTGAGGTGGGTGTGTTTTACCTGAGACACTAGATATAGGTAGGCAGGGTCAAACATCAGATAGCCATTCATCTGATTGGGAGGAGGGGGCTTTAGATACCTGTCAGGACTGGATCACTGTCTCAGTACCATAATTAGGTCTCACAGGTATACTGTCTCACAGGTAATTACAATGAGATAACTTGGCTATTTGTGTCTGGATAACAAGTTTCTGGGGATAGCAGTTGGACAAAACAAGATGTACAAAATATGTAGGCCGTTTCACTTCAATTAATCAGCACAGGTGGGTTTTAGGCATTACTGGTAAATTTAAAGTCTGAAGGGAATTAAGAAGATTGGAGAGTGGAAGAGCTCTCATTCTCACTTATCTTAAACAAAACTAATAATTTACATGAACATAAAACAATATTAGACATCTATATGACTCTGCAGGTGTGGAGAGGTTGTTTTTACCTGTTATGACCAGGTAAAAATAGTGAGCAGGTTATATACAAATTGTGTTTCTCTTAAGTGATAACAACACATTGTAGGTGGTAGGAAGGAACATTTGACCCTAGGGACATCTAAATGGCTGCTATAAATTATCAAGCTAAAGTGCTCTGCTAAATACGAAATTCTTGTCACGCTATAAATTATCACAAAATGTCAAGTACAGAGGAAAATATTCTTGTTCTCTTCATTCTACCACTACTTTTGGTATATCACTCCTCATTCAGATAAAACGAGTTACTCTGGCTCTTTGTTTCTGTATCCTCCTAAATCTGTGATCATGAGTTGTAATCCCTAAACTAATTATCCAAAATATTTCATTCATTGCTTCTTTGTTTTTGATATTGCCAGAACAGAATTGGAATGTTAGAGAAAAAGTTAATTCTAGACCAAATTATTGTCCAAAGCTATTATATATCTGATTCATTCACTTCTGTAGCATGTTTGTACACTACTAGAATATTTTGGCAAGAACAATTCTATGGTACAAAGAAAGTAAATAATCTGTAAATTCTTGAACGATGACAAGGTCAAGCTTTTTATTTTAATCCTTCGACAGGATGTTATCAAAGCAGATCAGCTTACACAGGTAAGGCGTAGGGCAGGACACCCACAACAAACACGTTCCTTTATTCCCTGTCCAGTTGTGGACTTAGGACATACAGCAATGTTTGTCTACAGCTATTGATTGGGCACGTCTATATTTAGAATAAAGATAACTTTAGCTATATTTATGTTGAAATATGTGATCCTCAGGTCTACATTTACATTGAACATTTTGTGGGGATGATGTTTGAAGATGTACAGAAGTTGTGAAGATTTCACACTGGTCATTTGGGCTTTGTAAATAAATGAATAAATGTATGATTATCAGTTACCTACAGAAAACAAAGTTGAAATGGTGCTGAAAGAACAAAGAATCTAAGATAACTTCTATTTATTTTTTGATTTCATGTAAGTCTGATCTGGTTTTGAAATCATTTAGTGAAAAAAAACCTTGGAATTTTTTTACAATAAAATCTAATTTGTTTATAAACAGCATCTTTTTATAAATTTTGAAATTTAATTGATACCAAATAAGGTTTGTTGTATCTTGTTCGAAGGTCAGATGTTTCTAAAGATAATGATTAAATATCTACCACCGATATAGAGGTGGTGACCTTTTACACAGCAGTGAGGATATAGAGGAGACAGTGGCACATAGCCAGAGCTGATCTATCTTAATTCATGGAGTGATGAGTTGGTAATAATTAGAACGCTGCGACAGGACAAATTGATCATGTTGGACTCGACAGAGCCCTCATGGTTAGGATAAAACACAGGTGTGAATAAAAGACTCGTTAAGACTTGTCCAGTATATGAACACCAAAAAAAATAACAGGTTGAGGGATACGGTCAGAAATGTTTCTGTTCATATACATTCTTATTTTGTGTTGGTGTGGTTTATAAAGCCCTATAGTCTGGATGATGAATCTGTCAGAGTTTTTTCTATTGACTCTAGTTAAATAAAGAGATCAAATTTATGAAGAAAAGGTATTTGTCATGAACCTCATTGCTTTCTAAAGAGAAGACTTTAGTCCTGGTACAAAAAAAGTGAAATTTGACAAGTGGTTTTTAAAGAAACCTTTCAGGG